TATCTTCAGACTGAGCTACACTGCAGGGGAGGACTCTGCCCTCTGATGAGAGAAGAAGAAACATAATTATCTCAGTCTTTCATATCTAAACCTAGAGAAAGACTGGCCAAAAATTGTAAGAGGAGTTGTAACTGAAAAAACTAATTAATTAAACCTTTCACATGGGATCACAGTAGTTATTAAATAAGAATTCAACTGATCAGAATGAGATTCTAACGTGCTTTAGAACACAGGTGTCCTTGTGGAAGCACACAAAGCAATCATTTTCCAAACAGAAGAGAATAGGAATGTTTAAGAGCAGCACTGGCAACAAAATATTGAATTTCTACTGTTCAGAATATTCTGAGAAGGAAAATGCAACTTTTTTACCTATTGTAGTTAGAAATCATCAGCCATAGGAATTAAAATGATTTGGACATCACTGATGAAAAACAGCTCCTCTAACTGCAGATTTATCACATTTTGTTTTCTTCTTGTGTTAATCAGAATCATTCAAAGTCCCTGCCTGTAAGTGTTATTAAATTCAAACAGTCCCTCTGCTGACTGGAAGACTTATTGTACATAAACACACTGCCATATGAAATTGTATACGGTGCTTTTTGAAAGACCCTGGTGTGGAAAAACTGAAGCAATAAGGCTCCACAAGTGAAAAAAAAAAAAAGCACTTGAGCATAAAACAAACGTCTGTTTTAATACAGATCCAGAAGTAGAACAGCTAAAAGTTTCATGAGTGAATATAGTTTTGGCACACTTGCTTTTCTTTAAACAGTTTGAGTGAGTGAGAAAGCACGTGGAAGTGCTTGTATGACCTCCCTAAAAGAATCCAGATGCTCCATTTTGCAGCACTGCCTGTGTTAATGGGCTTCACTCTTTAAATTCAGTGCACAGTCCTCAGCTATTTTAGAAGAGCAACTGACACCAGGAGAAGAGTCCTAAGGTCCTCAGGCAGCAGGTCAGAATGCTGACATGTCCTGAAAGCCCCCGTCTCCCAGCCCAGCCCTTCCCAGCCCAGCAGATCTTTCCTGGCTTACGCTCCTTTGCTTCTTAGCTCTTCATATACGTCAGACTACATTGCTCACTCCCAGTCTTTATCCCTACAACCTCTGCAGTCCTACACCTTGAGACAGGTGAATGCCAACCTCTACAACCTCTGATTTTACCCTACACAAACAAGGCTGTATATGAAGCAGGAGCTAAATTCTCCAGGCCCAAGGCCTCTGTCATGTCGGGCTGTGGCCTCAGGACTGATGCTTGGAATGAGTTTCATGGCTTTCTGTGAGGAGGAGGATCTAGAAGACAAGTGAAAGTAGGTTTTGAAGTACCTAGAGAAAGCAGAGATCAGCAGATTTCTTTTTCTCACTTGACTATTACTACCTCAGACAATCTCCCGCTTAGCAAAAAAAGCTGCAGTGGAGCTCCCTTCAAACACTGGACTTTCTCTGCTAATTGTACAGGATGCCTGTGTACCGAACCCAAACACTGACAAATCACTTGCCCTTCCTACTTACTACCGAGATTTATCCAGACTCCTTAACTCCTGCTTTCCTCTTTTCAGCACAGCCATTTCCCTCCAGGTACAAATTACATGCTTCCTCTTCCCTGTGTCTGAGCACTGCAACTTCGGGATGGATGAAGGAAAAGAAAGGCATCAGTTCTTTAAAATAAAGGTCACCAGACACCTGAAATGGCAAAACAAGACGTTTTTCCCAATAACGATTCCTGTAAGCAGCTGAAATTTCTTTTCTGAAAGGTTGCAAGCAGTTATCTGTTGATGAATGCAGGGATAAAAAAAACCACTTCAATAATATTTTAAATAATCCCAGAACCTATCTCCCCTCAAGCTTCTTTACTTCAGAAGACAACACACACTTCCTTCTCCAAAACACAGCCAAGAACTGACATTTCACCAGCACGTGCACAGCAGTGCAATAAAACACCAGCACACCCAGAAGCTGTTTTGAAATTCACATCAAGGCAAGCAGAACAAGATCAAGGTATGGAAATGACGACAAAGGTCTAGCTGAGGAGACAGCCAACTTTCCTTCCTGCTGCCTGCTGTGCTGCTTCCCACTACATTTGATGGAGGTTTAAAAATATTGGGCAGCCTGCTGGAGTCGTCCCAGCTGCATCCAGCTGAGAAGAAGCTCAGGCAAAGAAAATTCCCAGTTTCTCCCTTGCTTCTTCTTCTGTAAGTAAGGCTGCTGCTCATCAGTTAAAGGAAGCAGACTCATTAAGTGATATAACCTTGGCAGTTTGACTGTACTCCCAAAGCTTTATCATATTGCTCATTGCTATGAGGGACCCTTTGCTGCACCACAGTAATAAACGTTTCTACACTTTGTGTGCAAGAAGAATCAATAATCCTTAGCACAGAGCTTTTAGTCTAATAAAGATATAGATGCGAGATGTTATCACTTGGAACTCTCCAAAAAAGGCAGCCTTTCAGCCTTCAATATCAGCCTGACTCTCTTGCTTCTTCTGGTCCTCTCACAGAAAAAAAAATCCCATTAATTTCAAAGAAACTTTCAACAGATAAGGTCACACGTTTTGACCCATAACACTTCTGACATTTAAAATAATTGAATCTATTGTTGCGGCAAAAAAAAGGCTAATAAAATACTTGTATTAGTATTTATTTTTAATAATTACTGATGTTCTGTACAGGTGGGAAAGCTTGGGTGCATGCCTGCAGGACACTAATAGTTTTTTTTTTTCTCAAAAAAGCATCACATTCATCAGTGCACTAGAAGAAAATAAACCTGTATGAGGAAGTATCATGCTGACTCTCATTATGCCACCTCATAAGCTTGTCCTTTGATTCACTGTAAAAATTAAATATATTCTCTCAGTGAGATCAGAGGTATTAGACTAGAGTTCATGGAAACACAGGTGCAAAAACACTACTTTTTTGTATATCATTATAATATTTTGTATTACATACGGTAGGTTCAGTCAGTGCTACTGAATTGTCAGATAGAAGTGTGACAGGATTCTGCTGGATTCCCATTCCTCAGGGCTGTGGATGATGAAAACTGTGGGGTCCCCAGCTCTGATGCAGTCCAGAAGCAAGTCTCCCCCAGTGCTTCCTGCAGAGTGCTTGGCAAATTTGACATCTGTGTCAATTTTGCTGTAGTTATTAGCAGGGGAGCTGACAAGAATACCAATTTTGCCAAGCAGCTGCAGGATATTGTTGGCTTACAAGAAACAGGAAAAAAAAAAGGTTTTGGATTCAGCTGAAATCAAACTCAGTACCTCAGTCAAACATTTCCTGCAAACTGCATACCCTGCTTTTAATTTGTTCTTCAGACAGTGAAGTCCCATTTACAATAGAAGGAGATATGCTGGCTGGTCAGGTTAAGCTTCCTGAGAAAAGGAAGTACATCATTTTCCTCTGGTTTTAATCCCTGCACGTTTTCCAAATTTTTTGGTAAATGGGGACAATCTACATAACGACTCTTGCAATGCCCAGAGCAGACCATGCAGGCATATTCAAGCCAGCTTCAACCTAATTAGTCTAACTCTAGCAGTATGCAGCCCAGTTCCAGTTCATGGAGCTGGATAAACCATATAAATAAATACAAGGGGCATTTCTGCATCCCACGGTGCATCCAGTATCGCTGTGGTTATGCTATGTAACCAGTGAACCCAGAATGCTGCAACTAGCTTCAAACTGGTTGTCACTAAAGCATCCACGTATCCAATGCTCCTTGTGAGCACTGCAAATTTCATAGAAATCCTTTACACTGCACTACAGTTATGGCTGCTACAGAACATGAAAGACAAGCTTTTTGTTTTGCAGAAACATGTCATTTTTGTGACAATAGTTTTTCAGCTGTCAAACCAAAAATACAATCACCAGTCAGAGTAACACAGCCATCCATTCCAGCTCATTAGTCCTTGCCTGACAAATCAGGGAGCAGCTTAAACACCACACAGTACAGCGCAGCCTTAGGTCTGAACCCTGCAAAATCTTATTCTGCGTTTAAACTCATGCATGAATTTGCACTTGGCTAAATCAGACTTCTTGTGCTATTATGGGTCATTTGGAAGAGTACAGGCTTAGGATGTCAGAAAGTATAATCCAGCCCTGCCTGAAAGCTTCCACTGTGCACTAACAGGTCAGAGAGCAACTGGGCTATAATTCAAGTATCTTCTAGCAACTGCTTTGTTCCTAGCTCCAGTGAGAATGATAAGAAGGCAGAAGAAAACTCATGTTTTCTCACAGACAATCCGGACTTAAGATTTGCTGAAACACACGTAACTATTAGTCATCATGGAAGAGCAAAGAAAAGAAGCCTAAGTAAGTAAAACAGAGTCTGAAATAAATCAGGTACATATCCTATGAATCAGTGCATGGATTCTTGGGAGTCCTGCTCAGACAAATTTGCAATATAAAAACATGTATTTGCAGTTTTCTATATAAATGTACATAAATATATGTAGACATATATAAAGTGTTAAACTTTATACTTAAATACGTATGGACTTACATACATATAGAAAGTGTATAAAAGTGTATAAACAAATTAAGAAGTGTTAAATCAGGAATGTTAAATGCAATGACAGGAGAAGAGGTGTGGCAGGAAGAGAGATTTGTTTTTCTCAGAAAACAAGTGACACATTTTTCCAGCCCAATGGAAAAAATAATTTATGGTTACACGAATTACTCAAGAAAATGCCAACTCCTTTGCCGTTTCCTTCTCTGTTCCTCTGTTTGTATTTACAGAGTTTGATCGTGGCTATACCCTCCACTTGGTTTGTCTTTTCATTCACACCATTTCCTTTATCCACAGCCTGCTAAATCAGTGTGTGAAATGCGGTGTTTATTTTTTCCTTCTTTTAAGAAAGGGCTGGTGACAAAGATCGCTTAGAATCTGAGAAATCTCTGCTAGCCAAGCTACAACCATAAGAAGCATATAAATTGGGGCTGCATTAACAGCTTTTAGCCTTGTTGATCAAACAGTCCAAGATTAACAAACCAGCCCGACAGCGACTATTACCTGCAGAAGTGTGTTTGAATTTTTCACTCTTCTTCTTCCTCCATTTCCACGGCTTAAATAGCCTTCCAAGAGTGGCAAATTTGCTTCTTCTTCTGATTGGAGGTGTGTGTGTCCCAGGTACTAGAGAATCTGAACGCATTGCAGCCAGTCTTTCCACTTCCTCCGCTGGATTTTCCGCAAGAAAAGGAGAAAGAAACAAAATAAAAAAGTGAAATAGATATTTTAATAAATTATCAGAGAACCACACAGATGGTAAATTTTTTCCATGGTTACAGAAACTACTAAAAAAGGGGAAAAAGCGTTATCTTTATTATTTTAACTTTATTTTCTTCCAATTGAACTCATGCTCTGTTACAAAGATCTGTGTTAACAATAGGATTCAAGAGAAATTTGCATGAACTAATACTGACCAAGGGCAAGGATTACAACCCCTTGATATTATCACTGTGTTCACTGAAACTGTCTGGGTTCCAAAAGGGCCTACACCAGGGATTTCCTAGTGAAAAGGCGTTCAGAATCCAGAAGGTTCCTCTCAGTCCCATGTTTCTGCCAACCCAATCCCCTCCTTTTAAGTCTTTAAAACTAGAGACTTGGAGAACTTTAACACAGTCCACAGTCAGGGCTGAATTCTTTACGGAGAGGCTATAGTCTTTCACTGAACTTCTGTTGTTAAAAAAAAAAAAAAAAGAAAATTCTGCAGTCATTACATTGTAATGCATCAAGGAAGACTCAGTACTTAAACAAACCAACAGACAAATCTGAAGAATTTAAATTACCCTCCCTCACTGCAAGAGAAACCTGGGGGTTGTCACTTGGCACATTTATATTGCATGTTATTTCTTAAGGATATCATACACCCATCCATAAAAGGCCTATGAGAAGACCCAGGAAAATATTGACCTGTTAGTCTGCCCCTAGTCCCTGAAAAAGTTATGGAGAAGATTACTCTGAGATATATCAAAAAGCACGTAACAAAGAAAGCCATCATCAGGCACAGTCAACAGTATCATTTGTCAAGGAAGGTCAAATCTGATCTCCTTCTAGGATAAGGCCATCCACTTGCTAGATGAAAGGAAGGTGGTGGATGCAGTCTTTCTAGACTTTAATGGGATCCGGAGCATTGGGCAATCATCAGGGTGATGAAATTCAACAAGGGTATACACTGGGTCCTGCACATGGGATGGAGCAATGCCAGACAAGGGAACAGACTGGGAGATAAGTGGCTGGAGAGCAGCTCAGCAGAGAGGGGCAAGGGGGTATCAGTGACAGCAAGCTCAGTGTGAGCAGCACTGTGCCTGGCAGCCAAGGGGCAAAGCACATTTTGAGGTGCATTAAGCACAGTACAGCCAGCTGGCCAAAAGAAGCGATTATCCCGCTACTGGGCCAGCACTGATGGAGCATCACACTGGATATTGGAGTTCTGGGCTTCACAGTATAAAAAGGTTGTTGAAGTACTTGAAAGTGCCTGAAAGAGGCACCTAAGTTGGTAACAGGGCTGGAAGGCATGTAGCGTGGGGAGGGGTGCAGGACACCTGACGTCCTCCATATGGGACAGCACGAGAGGCCTTCATTGCTCTTTGCATCTCCCTGAAGAGAGGAATCAAAAAAAAAGGGAGTCTCTAAAAGGGAGACGCCGGGCTCTGCACCTTCCTGGTAACCAACAGCAGACATGCAGGAACAACATAGGCTGGTTCAGACTGGGAAACATTAGGAAACCTGTCTGTATGGAAAGTTCTGTTGAGAATGATCAAACTCTGGAACAAGTTTCCTAGAAAAACGGTACATTCCCCATGCCTGTCAGTGTTCAAGAGGCATTGGATAATGTGCTCAATAATGTGCTGTACCGTCTGTGAGCTCTGGAACGTTCAGGCGGATGGACTAATTGATCTCTGATGGTCCCTTCCAACTGAACTGTTCTGTCATTTCCCAGCCCTGTGTTGTAATGCAGCACTGCCAGGGAAACAGAGGTGAACGGTTTGCAAAAAGGCAGGCTAGATTACTAAAGGCAGAACACAGATCTTCACTGACACCATTCTGAAGTCGGCAGCTCAGTGTTTTCATTCTGCCAGCAGTATTTAAGGATTAACCTCAGTCATGAGCACAAGCTCTGGAGCCTCAACAAGAACAGAGCTCTGAAGGGATGAACACACCTACGCCATAGAACAAACCAGAGATTTTAGCTGTCAGATTCTTGTGCATCTCAATGGAAAATTTTAAAAGGCTTTAAGTGTGCCAAATTTAGGTTGGCTTCTGTGGGAACCCAGAGAGATGCCTCTAGCATAAAGGAAATCCCATTATCAGATCTCTAAACTAAAATATTATTTGAGCTTTTCAGGTTTTTTCAAGGAAGTTGCTTATTTTGTTCTTGCTTATTTTTTTTTTTTAACATTGGCAACACAATTCTCCTTGCAAAATATCACTGCCAGATACAGCCGCATGTAAGTTTTTTGAGAAAAGACACAGGCTAAAGGGACAGAGAGCCAAGATGTATAACTGGAATTGGTGAAAAACAACTATTCTTTGGGGCAATGGAGAGAAACAGACATCTCTGAGAACTTCTTTTTTTTTTTTTTTTTTCCAAGAGAGGAAAAAAAGGTAGTCTGGTCAAACATTTCATTCTGTTTCAGCTCTTCATATCGTGCCTAACTGCCTAGAGAAATCCCTGCTTATACGGACAACCCATTACAAGGTACTGTCCTATGGAGGAATAGGACATGCTGCATCAAGGCTGCACGTCACCAGGCTATGCTGAACACACATTATTGTGAAGGTAGAAAGAAGAAACTGGGTATTTCCTTATGCTTCCTGGTTTCTCCGGGATATGCACAGCTTCAAAGACCTGCAAGGGGTATATATAGATCAACTTACTCTATATGCAGATCCAAAGAGAGCACACCTTTCCCCATCTCCTCTATTTTTAAGATGCCTCTAGTTATAAAGAGCACAAGACTACGCTGTGATCCACTGCTGGGATTTTATACAGATGCTGCTAAAAGCAGTGGGCTGGCACTGTCTTTGCTGTCCTGCTTGAGCTACAAGGGGTGTAGAAGCAACCCACTGAACAAACTGGAAATGACAGACTACTGCTGCTGAATTAGGCTTTCTGCTACATAAATCCACAGTTGAAATATAATGAAATTCCTCCTGCTGCTTGCCCTCTCTCCCATGGCCCTCACTGAGACAACATTTCTGCTACCAAAGTAACCTACAGTAGCTAAACGTCAGAGATGCACAGCTCTTTGAGAGTTGGTCCTAGTTACTGCTGCCAAGGCCATTTCCAGGTGAAATGACATCCCTTAAAAATCTTATTTCATATAGCACATTCTCTGTGCTGCACACTAGCTGTGCTCTCACTGCCCCCAGGAAGTTTCTCCTGCTGAGAGTAAACTAGCATGGATTCACCATCAGGCAACACAAATACTAGAGTCAAAAGGAATTTACCCATAGGGGTGGGTTCTATAAAAGCCAAACAGTGTCAAAACCAGTTCCATGTTTTGACTGCTGTTCTGTGAATTTCAGTATTTTATCCTACGTGGATCTGTTCCAGGAGCCTTGCTGGGCTCTCGGTCAGCCATGAAGAGATGATGTGGCCCTTTTCCTTCATCCTCTCCAAACACACACAGCTCTGAGCTAATGCAAATAACAGCTCTTCTTTCCCCTTTCATTCCTGTTTCTCAGAAGGACTACCTTTTATTATTTTTTTTCTCCCTATGCAAAATACTCTCAAGAGCGATGCTAATTCAAAGCATAATAATCACTGGCTAGGAACGAAGCACATTAGCATAAAGCCATGACAGTTTTAATACAGCAAGAATAAAACCAGACCATGATGCAAGAAGCAAAAGCCAGATTTGAGCATTCATTTTTTGCTGCATCTTTCCTTTGAGTTGGCCAGGTTTCTCTGCCTTTTTGACTCCTAATGACTATTGACTATCCGTGGGCTGTGACACCCACTGCTGACAGCAGGCTCTGTGGGCTGGTTTCACACCCTTGCTGTTCCCAAAAGAGGTGGTACTTGCACAAATGTAAACCATTCCAGGCCTAAGCATTTTTTGCCTTCAGAGAGAAGGGCAGTCCCATCTTGATCAGTTTGCTGAACTAGGAAAAGGAAGTGGTGTGTCCATTGGTGTCACACTGGAGTCACACTGCTGAGGTCTTGTCTTTTGCTTTAGCATCACAAATGTGATGATTACAGGTTACTTTTGATGCTGATTCTCTGTGCTTTTGGGAACTTGTTCTGATTTACTGCAGACCCGCAAGAGAGATCTTGCAGAAAAACAGGATACTGGTACCTGCACTCATGGCAAGAGGGTGATGCTCTCCTCTCTCACTTCCTTCTGTCCCAACTGTCATCCCAAAATAGCAATGGGGAAACTAAATAAGAGAGGGTTTGGTTTTTTTTTGCTTGTGAAACAGTTCGTAAGATTGTACTGTAAACTTCAAGACATATGAAGTTTATATAGATTGGAGGGCTTAAGCAAGACCTGTGATGCTAATTAAAAAAAAGCAAAAATAATTTGTGATTTAAAAGAAATGTTGCCAAAATGATTAAAACATAGTTCCGAGACCTAAAAAAGCTACAAGGTCTGAAAGCTGATTTCTTTCCCTATTTTTTTTTTCTTCTCATTTTGCAGATAACCTTTATTTTGGTTATTTTTTAAAATAAAGCTACTTTAAGTTTTGCTGGTTGAAACATACTGCATGAATGTCTGATGGAGAAAACTAGCAAGTCATGGAAAAGCATTGTGAAAAGCACTTCTTCACAACAGTCAATTTCCAGCCCTAGGAAAAAGAGGCCTGGCCAAGTTGGACATGTTCTGTGTGTTCTTATGAACTTCCCACATCTTTCATTAGGACACTGATTTCTAGAAGGTCCAGTGAGAAACATAAACATCACCTATTTTCTTGCTTTGAGCAGTGTAGGAGGCAGTTCTAGGTTCTCTCAAAGAAAACACACTGTACACAGTTCTGTCAGAGAACAAATTCTGTCATTCCAGTGTCTGTCTGGGAATCACAGCCTCTATTAATGCTGCCAATATATAACATAGTCCAGGTTCCATCTTAGAAAAGCCACTTTTTCCCATTCAGGTATGCAGCAATTTTGGAAGCCCACCTATTCCATCTGTGATCTTTAAGATTTCCTTCCCAGCTTGTAATCACACCCT